AGAATATCATGGAACGAGCGTGTGAGCAACGATGAGGTCTTGGAGAGGATGCAAACAAGGAGTGCCCTTATACTTAACATCAGGAAGAGACAGCTGAAGTTTCTGGGACACGTAATGAGAAAGGAGGGCCTGGAGAATCTGATACTCACAGGTCGAATAGAGGGAAAGAGAGACAAGGGAAAGCAACGCATGGCATACTTGGCGGGTTTAAGCAAGTGGAAGAGAGAACGTAGTCTGGAGGAGGTGGCAGAGGGACGAAACTTATTGAGAGCTACAAGGGATGGAGGTAGTAGAGAGCCATGATCGCCTACGTCCTCAAAGGACACGGCACATAAACAGAAAAAAAGGTGACGTAATATTTTCGATCTGACCTACTATAAAATATTTTCGGTCTAACCAAATGACCATAATTAGGGAGCAAGGGTATTTCGAACGGGTCTGGAAAGTTCCAGCACAAATTCGCACATAGCAAGAAAAACATTGTTTTATTTTGCGGAAGCACTGAACAATTTTAGGCCCAAATCTATTCTTTCTTTTTCATAGTATTTATTCGTTGGAAAGTTACCAGGAATAAATGGAAGTTGCTTAGTTTTTCATTCTAAAAGAAATGCTCCTAATTGCTGTATATATCTTTACGCGGTTACTGTAAACAAAAAATTCAACTCCCTCTCCTTATGATCGATGTCGCCGATGAAAAGGATCGAGCATAAAAGCAATGACATAATTTTCGTTATTGTTTGTTCTTTAAGACAAAGACTGTAAAGGGCGTATTTTGTAGGCATACAATTTCACTTAACTTATTTTTGAATAAGAAATTATGTGAGACTATATTTCAGTTCTAAGTAATCATTTTAATCTAAGTAATCATTTTTGAATAAGGAATTATGTGAGACTATATTTCAGTTCTAAGTAATTATTTTAATCTAAGTAATCATTTTTGAATAAGAAATTATGTGAGACTATATTTAAGTTCTAAGTAATCATTTTAATCTAAGTAATCATTTTTGAATAAGAAATTATATGAGACTATATTTCAGTTCTAAGTAATCATTTTATTCACGTTATAACTAAGATCCTTTCCAAATTTTGATCTTTTACCGGAGTTATAAAGGGCGCAACCAATAAATTGTCGCTATTTTATACTTTTAATTTCGCGCATGCGCGTTGTTTATTTTTGATTTTGTCGACTGCACAGCAAAGTAGGGTGAGTTGGACACCGTCTGTGAGAAAAAGAGGACAGCGCAGAGGATTCAAAAAGATTTGGATGGCTCTAATGGTGATTCGACAGTTGAGGACAGCGCAGAGGATTCGAAATGAGTTGGATGAGTCTAATGGTGATTACGAAGGTACAGCAGCTCGGAAAAATCACTTTAATCGTTCTGATAAGAAATGAACACCCGAATTTGTCGGTGAGGGCCTCAGAGACCTATATCAATTGCCTTGAGGGGGTAGTGCTGCCCTGGATCAAGTGGGTAGCTGCTAGAAGACACGATGTTTGAAAACAGGACTCTGCACCATGCCACACAAGCAGGAGAACCAAGTGATGGCTTTCAGACAATTTCTCCAAGGGCGATTTTATTGAATAAATTTACTCTTTAGTATTTGAAGATATTTTTGCGTAATTTTGGTAAATATATCTGTTAAAATAACTTGTCAGTGTTATTTTCATTTTGGGCGTAATTTAGATGACAATTTATCCATCGCACGCCCTCTTCTCTCTCTCTCTCTCTCTCTCTATATATATATATATATATATATATATATGTATGTGTGTGTGTATACATATATATATATATATATATATATATATATATGTATATATACATATATATATGTGTGTGTGTATAAAGGTATATATATATATATATATATATATATATATATATATATATATATATATATATATATATATATATATATAGTGAATGTGTGTGTGTTTATTTATTAAAGTATATTTATTTTCGTCTACTGGCCTCGAGGAATCTTATTAAATTTTCCTTTAACAATATTTTTCGAAAATTATATATATATTTATATATATATATATATATATATATATATATAAAATATTTTCAGATATATCTATAAAGGAACAAAATGAAGAAAAGACAAAAGAAAATCTATATTTTAACCGATGCGTTTCGTCCTTTGAGGAACTTTATCAACGCAAATTTTTAGTTGAATACAAAAGCGTGGATGTATTGGTTTGTGTTTTCAAATTTTCAAATACACCCCACTACGTCGTTTATTAAACAATTAAACAGCATACATAATGACGAATGTATTTATTTTGAAAACGTTCATGAATATTCATGAAGTGGTTGAAAGGTCAGTTAAAACATATGGAGGACACGAAGTGCCATAATTGTTATGGTTTGTGATGGCCGAGGTAAATCTTCTGTGGTAATGGATTTTTGTGGTCCTTTATATTGGCTTGGGAAAATAATTATTTTCAAAAATTCAGACTAGTTCAGACAAAATATAACAAAATTACCATTTACATTTTTTTTAAATTAAAAAAGATTATCGCAATGTGGAATATTTAATAATAAATGTGAAAAAAACTAAACTAAAAGAAAAGAAATCAAATAAATCGGGTAAATTATCCAAAATACAATATTAAAAAAATAATTTAAAATTGTGTTTGTATATGTAGTTGCATGTTTAATATAAACATCACTTTTCCGATGGATCCAAAAAGATGAAATGTCTCTTTTTCCCATATAGTGATAGATTTCTTTAACACTTCCCCATATATACATATATATGATAAACTAATGAACAAATAGGAAGCGATTATTAAACGTTTTTCACTTTTGAGAGAAAAAGACAGAACTTTGTAATTTTCAATTTTGTTTGCATCACTTCTCATTGGTCAGTCATGTATCACGTGCATTAAACCGTAGATAATTCTAAATGTTTGTAAGTTTGTAAAAATTATATGCCTAAGCGGGCATCCGAAGGTAATGTATATTAGTAATTATGTATGTGTGTCTTCCTTGTAAGTGGGATTCTATTTTTTATTGTGAGTGGCCATTCGGCATAGTTGAGTAGTATTCTGTTATTTTTGGCATGTTTGTATGTACGTACAGTTTGTAGATAGATGTAAGTTAAATTCTTTAAGAATTAATTCAGAGAAGAGATATATATATATATATATATATATATATATATATATATATATATATATATATATATATATAATATATATATCAGTGAACATTGAAGGCTACAGGTTGTTTCATGCTAAACGTAATCCTCGCCTGACGATTGCGTCCAGCATGAAACAGCCTGTCGCCCCGGAGTGTAGACCTCAATATTCACTTTTATATTTACACACGCTCTATCTCTGATATTGAGCACTTTATTCCATAAATATAGCACATCTTAAGAGTATATTTCTTCATATATATGTGTGTGCGTGTGCGTGTGTGTGTGTGTGTGTGTGTGTGTGTGTGTGTGCGTGGATGTGTTTGTGTGCGCATATATACATTATAAATTTACTAATTTAAAAATATGGTTCCATCGCTACACAGGAATTACCTTCTTTCAAAAACAGAAATAAAAAACTTTGAATTCAATTATAGAATTAAATTGAAATCCCAAGTTCTGTTACATTTTCAAGCGAATTTTGGATCCAAAATTCGCTTGAAAATGAAACTTTAACTTAATTCTATAATTGGATTTGAAGTTTTTAGTTTCTGTTTTTGAAACATGGCATGGTAATTCCTGTGTAGCGATGGAACCATATTTTTAAATTAGTAAATTTATAATATTTATGCTCTGTAGATTTGCATTGAGCACTGTTTTGTAAAAATAAAAATATTAATTAGAACACCGGATTATATATCTTACTGTTCTTTCTCTTTATTACAATATATATATATATATATATATATATATATATATATATATATATAGAGAGAGAGAGAGAGAGAGAGAAAGAACTTGAGCCAAATTGCACCTCCTCTACAGGGATTCACTCATCTCGAAAATGCGAGTGTATACAGACCGCTATAGACAGCTTATTGAAAGGATTCATTTACAAGCCGTGCGTGTTTCTATCTGTGCGTGAGTATAAATTGCATTTATGCAAATAAGACTTGAATTTCGCATGTTCCAAAAGAATATTCTCTTTCTTAATCAATGGTCTTCGATTGATGGATTCCATTTATAAACCTTTTCATTAGAATTATACAATATCTGATTCGTTTAGCCCTTCTTTTGGGACTTTGTTATTATTTATTGTGGACAAAAAAAAAAAACGAAAACAGATAAAAATCAAAACCGTTCACATCAATAATTTTTTCATTTCCTCTGTTTTAATGAAACATTTTTCCTTATTTTCTTTGTTCTGTTCACATTGTTTGTTTTTCGTTTTTAGTAAAAAAAAAAAGAAAGGAAAAACCTGGCAGTTTTAAGTGCAAGTCCTTTGTAAAAACCGTCTCCGTCTAATAAGTCTTTTTCTTCTTTTTCTTTGATCCAAGAAATTTTCTCTCACTTTCTCTCTTTAATGGGCACGAAATCCTAAACCGTTTAATCGAATCTTTATGCGGACAGAACTGAAAACAAAAATGACGTTTTATCTAGTAAAAAAAAAAGAAAAAAAATCACTGAAATAAAGTAACCATTAGAACGAGTATTTTGGGAGAGTCGATCAAAAACCGCTACTAACGTATTTTTCTCCTTATGACTATCAAATAACCACGCAGCTGAAATTGCCAATTAAAAACGAAAAAAATAAACTGTTAACATGTTCATCAGATTCGAAGTGAAAACAGGGAAATTTCATAATTATGAAACCCATCAAACTGATCTGATTTCAAAATGACAGTCGTAAATAGATAGATTGACATTTTCTGCTTACATTAATTGTTATTTGGAGATTCTTTCAGGTTTAGAATTTAAAAACCATAAAGTTATCAGTAGATCAAATCCAGGACTCTCCTCGGTATTCTTACCAATTTCAATAATCTCCTTATTTGAACTGCCCCAATTTTACGACTAAATCACGTTGAATCACCGATTCCCGTACGATCACTGAAGTTAAGCGACGTCGAGCCTGGTCAGTACCTCGATGGATGACTGCTTGGGGATACTTGGCACAGTAAGCATGGATGTGCGTGTGGCTTAATGGACAATAGAGCAGAATTGTTAATCGGAGAGCTGAGTTCCCGTTGGGTTTGTTATATTTACTTACGTGCAAATACCGTTGGGAAAGGCATGAATCCACCTATTCTCCCTCATCCCAGCCAGCTATTGGAATTCGAACTCGGCCCACCAATCCCTCAATCCGACCTCCGTTATTCCACCGTACCCTCTTGGACAAATAGTACCTTTGGTAGAATACATGAAGTGAAAAGCAGTCCAAAAGTATGTTTTTTATATTCATCTTAATGTTACAAAATGTCAAGGTCATGATAATTATTCATCTTTATGTCATAAAATGTCAAGGTCAGGATAATTATTCATCTTTGTGTTACAAATTGGCACGGTCATGATAATTATTCATCTTTATGTCACAAAATGTCAAGGTAACGATAATTATTCATCTTTATGTCACAAAATGTCAAGGTCATGATAATTATTCATCTTTGTGTTACAAATTGGCAAGGTCATGATAATTATTCATCTTTATGTCATAAAATGTCAAGGTCATGATAATTATTCATCTTTGTGTTACAAATTGGCAAGGTCATGATAATTATTCATCTTTGTGTTAAAAATGTCAAGGTCATGATAATTATTCATCGTTATGGTACAAATGGGCAAGGTCACTATACTGTACTTATGTTACAATATTTCAACGTCATTATATCTATTAAACTTTACGTTACACAATGTCAAGGTCGTTATACTTCATTCATCTTTATGTTACAAAATTGCAAGGTCAGCATACTTCTTCACCATTATGTTATACGCAATGTATATTAAATATGAAATATTAAGATCAAGTTACTTATTCACCTTTAACTTATATACTTTAAAACATTAGTAAAACATTATTGTCTCAAAATAAATCTGACAATCTAAAAATATTTTCTGGCATTAAATAACCTGCAAAGGGTTGATAAACCGTAGAAAACAAATCAAGCAATCAATATATGCATCGTCCCACTTTTATGGATGGCACAGTGGATAAAGGCGTTAGTTAGATCCAGTGACAGGACCCAAAGAGTGTGAGTTCAATACCTGGTTAAGGACTTTCAGAGGGAAAATAACAGGAGATAACTGATAACTGACATCCATTAAACATGGCACATGGAACTAGAACAGTCTACCCCAGTGAGCGAAATAAAGGGTTCAGTTCGACATTCCAACCACCTGAAGAAGGCCGGAGCGTACAACGGCCGAAACGTTGTATTAAATATTGCGACAAAGATGAGGACAATATTTCGAATAATGTAAATAGTGTACATATTACCTCATCTCAGAAATATAGACAGATACTGAAGGGCCGAAACATTGTGATAAATATGGCCACAAAGATGAGTTCAATAATCCGAATAATGCAAATAGTGTACATAATACCTCATCTCAGAAATATAGACAGATACTGAAAGGCAGAAACGTTGTGATAAGTATGGCGACAAAGATGAGGACAATAGTCCGAATAATGTAAATAGTGCACATAATACCTCATCTCAGAAATATAGACACATACAGAAAGGCCGAAACGTTGTAATAAATATGGCGACAGAGATGAGGACAATAGTCTGAATAATGTAAATAGTGTACATAATACCTTATTTCAGAAATATAGACAGATACTGAAAGGCCGAAACGTTGTGATAAATATAGCAACAACGATAAGGACAATAGTCCGAATAATGTAAATAGTGTACATAATATCTCATCTCGGAAATATAGACAAATACTGAACGGGATTGCATGTCGATCAAGTCACCTTTTTCTATATCCATTGACAAAGATTAACCAAGAAACTGTAGCTGAACCCTAACAGGTGCAACGCTATACATAGCATGTTTTTTTATGGGGGGGGTCTATTCACGTTTTAAGGCAATAATCTACTAAAAAATAACACATATTCCACTTAGCTAATTTTTCTTTGCCAGTCTACAATTAAGTTTGTTTATCGTGTCGTTATGAAAATCTGTCCTTTTGGTCATTATCAATAGTCTTGATAATCTTATCGTCTTCGTTATCTTGATCATTGTCTCGGCAATATGATAAAACGGTAATAATATGACAACCATAATAAACGAAATTCAAAATCGACGCCTTATTCAGAAAAAGGTTTTATTTGTTTGGCAAAGACGTCGACTCATGTACGCCGGTGAAAAGATGGAGTTCTCGCATTGAATCAATTCTAAAGGACGACAGTGCTTCTTCGTTGTGGCTACTCAGCTTCCTTTGCGGAAGCCTCACAACCTAATCAGTCGTCACGAGAACTCGGCGAAGGTCGAGAGGTTTTAGTCATTCAATCTCTATAAACATCTAGCATTCAAAATTCAGCAAACTTCACTCAGTTATAGATTAAATATGTTTGAAATAACTTTTAAAAGGAGCCATTTCTTGTCAAGCCGCAATCAATTCAATTCCATTTCTAGTCTTTGCTTCATTTTCTAGTCAAACGTGAATTGCGTGCCTGGTTAATTATTTAGGAGTTGTTATCCCATTTTTGAGACAACCGCCGCACGCGATTTCATTCTTACTCTAGTCTATATAAATTGTGATTAATATAAGTTAATAAATATTTGATTGATCAAAATAGCGAGGCTCAGAGGGCAAAGATTTCGTTTAGGTTTTTATTACGTCATTTCACAAAATCTATTTTTTTTTTTTTTTGGGTGGGAGTTAAGAAAAGAAGAAAAATCGACAATGCACCACACGAGAAAAGTTTTCGTTTGGTTTATTGAAATTTGCTAATGCTTTTTTTTTAAAATATTTTTTTAACTTGTCAAATACACAGATTTATTTTTGTCTGTTTTCTTTTGCGTAGCTTCAAGCTCTTCTTTGTATTACGTGAATAATTTCAATTTTGTTTGCATTGCCAATACCGACGTCATACGTCCCACAATTTGAATGATATACGAGTCTCGACTGAAAAGTTCATATATTGACCAAGATACACTCATGGAACGTGATCAAATGAGGTTTATTGTTCTCACAATACTTCAATCGGTGTTGCAGTGCTCGCATCCCATTGTTGAAGAAGTTATCATCCACTTGATCAGAAAAATTACCAACAACAGATACGTCATAATCACTACAGATGGAGCTAAAGATGGAGACAGAAGATAGTCACATGACGCCAGATCATTATAATAGATATGGAGATCAACTAGTTCAAAGCCATTGCACGCACAACAGCAAATCAAATCAAGCACTTGACTTGTGTGCTGGAGTATTGTTCTGATGAAGAAAGACCCTTTTCGTCAGTTTTTTTTTTTTAGGTTTGGCCTTTCGTAACTTTAGTTGACATATTACTCTCCATTGAAAGCGTATCCCTATTGAAGATAATCAATAAGTCTTTTGCATCCCCCAAAATTCAGCTTCCCAACATATGAAACGATCTTGACCTTCTTTGGAACGGGTAATGAGAGGTGTTTCCACTGCATGGATTGTCTCTTTGTCTCTGGTTCAAAGTGATGACCCCCAACACTTATCCTGGGTTTGAAAATGTTGTGGATTCCGGGATGAAATCCGGCACCAATAAATAACAAACGCCAAGAAGGCATATAAAAATATATATATATTAATTTAATAATACAAACTGGTAAGGCAGGTTAGTAGTTCCAGAAATGCGGGTTAGTAGCAAAATATATATATACAGTCTTTGGTATCGACGTATCACTGTATGACTTCTTACTGAGTCTACGTGCTCCGTCACTGTGACTCTTACTCGTTACGTTTATTATGGTTCGTGTTCTTTCTCGTTCTTCTTCGGGTATTCACTAGCAGTAGTATATGTATACCCTGAGTGAGTCCATTTGTGTAAAAAGGGGAGAACCCCTCAACAGAAAACGTTAAAGAAACTGCCTCAAATAATAACATATTTTCCCGTGTTGTGATCAGCCTAGTGCATTTTTGATCAGACGTTAGAAGACGTGACACCCAAGGAGCAGAAGCCTTGGTTATATCAAGTTCATTTTGCAGAATATTCTCATATATCTTGTGATTGTCGTGAGCAAGATACCCGACATCATCCCCGAAAAAGCCCACGCATTGCATGTGTATGGTATTGCAGAGCAGTTGAAGGAAAGGAGAAATGGCGGAGTGCGACTACGCATATGTAAAACTCTCCCACTCAACTAATCGGCTGCTTCGTCATGGTCTATAAAATGAGTGTCTGAAGGCTTTGGCAGTTGGTGCCGAGGGAGCCGACGAGGAGAACGACAAGAGACGACCGTCCTATATGAGAGACGACTGCCCTGTTCCAGCGAGTCCTTTTTGGCGTGACGGCTACATATCTCAAGAAGATATACTAATAGAATTGGCTATTTGATTTATAGTCAGTCGCCTGTCATCCATCACCATATGATGAACACAATGTGCTCTTCGACGATGGCAGTTGCAGGGTCATGTTCAAAACTCTCCTTTTTCCTCCTTCTCACTTTTGCTCTGTTTATGACGCAGGGGTATCACCCCCTAATGTAGCAACCGTCTCAGAATGAGTGTCCTTGGGGGATAAAATCTTTTCATATAGGTACTTCATTACACCACGATGCTAACTTTTCAAGATAACTTGCTCCTAGTCGTATTTGAAGTATTCCTTTTACGCGGTGCACTAATGGACAGCGTCTCGAATTGAGGAATCGGAGAGCCGAATTCGACTTGAATTCCAGTCAAATTCATTACATTCATTGACGTGGTTATGCTCTTGGGAAATTTATGGCCCCACCCATTTATGGGTAAGTAGCAGGGTAGACAGGGTCCTATATCCTTGATTGTCGAAAAATTATTTTAAGAAAAAGATTTAATAAATTTCAACGAAAACTAGCACTGACCGCTCGGTAAATGAATGCTGAATGTTTCCTTATAAGGAAATGGTAAATATTCCTCTTCCTATTATTATTATTATCTGGAAGTTTTTGGTTATTCTTAGACTAGGAAATTCTTCCGGATTGTTCCCAGAGGGTGAATACTGTTAGCAAAGATCGGCAGCGCCATAATCTACAATAATTCTCAGTTCTCTTCCAAGCCTGCAATATTTGTCCATCCTTTCAGGTTGTATTCAATATTAACCCGTGACCCGTTGAAATATTAACGTCCACCAACAGAATTATTTTTTTCTTTTTTGTTTAGAGTGATCTGATCTAACTTTCTGACCTTGATTTCGTGAGTCCTTGAGTTATTATTATTATTATTATTATTATCTTTGATTTCTGGCGTGTACACATTTCTTTCCGGGTCCCGCCCAGGGACCTAAGGTTAGAAATGGCATCATGACACTTTCCACTGACAAAAAAAAATTACATAGATAAAGCCCTTCGTAAAGTGTGGGCTGTACTTGTCAGAACATTTTTTGTATCTCTTTGAGGCATGGACTTCCATGAATCCCTTCAATTGGTCTGCTGCAATCTTTTCTAACCAATCCTAGGGCTCCAACTACAACAGGGATTGTTGATGTTTCCATGTGCCACATTTTTGAGATTTCTATTTCCTTGTATTTTGACAGCTTTTTGAATATCTTCAAAGATACATTGCAGTCTGCAGAGACTGCCATATCAATAAGGAGGCACTTTTTTGTTTGTGGTCTTTAATAACAAAATCTGGCCGGTTGGCCTTGATTGTTCTGTCAGTGTGTATTGTGTAGTCCCATAGAATTGTAACAGGTCCTATCTCCGTAACCGGGTCTGGTTGGTTTTCATACCAGTTTCTTTCAGTTTCCTTCCCGTAGAAGTTGCAGATTTTCCAGTGCAGATATTGGCCCACTCTGTCATGTCGGGTTTTATATTCAGTGGGTGCCAACACCGTGCAACCTGATACAAGATGATCAATCGTTTCTGGATACTTATCACAGAATCTGCATTTTGGGCTGACACAATATTTTAGTATATGTGCTTGATAATTCCTAGTTAGCAAGCAGTGGTCCTGTGCAGCAAGGATAAAACCTTCAGTTTCCGCTTTCAACCCTGCACTACGTAGCCACTGATGGGTACGGGTTTTGTCTACGTCAGCTTGTTTAGTACGGGCAGAGTATTGGCCATGAAGCGGTTTATCTTGCCATTATTATTATTATTATTATTTTCTCGTCTTTTCACCAGAACTCACTGATAATAATCGCTGAAGATCCGCTTCTCACCCACCTCCCCAACGCTTGAGCAGATTAGATAATCCCAACACAAGTTCGGATATGCATTTCTTACAATTTTGCTTTCATGGTCTTTCGGCGTTTCCTAGTCTTCTAAATATAATCGCCACAATCATTATTTTTATATTTCATAGCTTCTTCATTTTTTGAGTAAACTCCTGCTATTTTTGCATTTCTTTCTTTCAATTTTTCCTTTTGATTTAAATTTTTTATGTGTTATTTAAATTTTTATCATTTTTTTACATTTTGCCTTATTTACTGCAAAATCAAGACTGCAAACGTTTCTACCATCCTCTTATTGAAAAATACAGACTGACTATACAATAAAAAATTTTTAATTCAATAACAAAACGTTGAAAATATTTACACGTTGCTAATATTATTCACTGTCACAGAATTCTTATTATAATTATTCTTATTATTCTTTTTCTTATTATTATTATCTCCTGTGATTTCTGTTGTAAACACATTTTCGTCCGTGTCCCAACCAGAGACTTAAGGTAAAAATGGCTTCATGATATTTTTCACTGATCATTTTTGTAAAAAAAAAAAAAAAAAGCTCACACATATTTTATAAAGATAAAGCTCTTCGTAATGTGTGAGCGGGACTTCTGAGTCCAAGTTCTTTTATTTCTTTAAAATGGGCTACCAGGAATCCTTTCAATGAGTCTATCAGAACATTTCCCAATCAATCCGACAGCACCAATATTTTATTTTTAATTTTAATCATTTCACCCCAAGCAAGGCGGGAATGCCACTAGTACGCAGGGGGTAACAGCGAGTTGGAAAAAAGTCTGAGTATCGGGCAGATTGACGCACATTTTTAAGATTGCCGTTATCAGCAAATTAATTAAAGGGAAGGGAGTTCCACAGGCGGGAAGTGCGAGAAAATAAACTGTTGAAGTAGAAGTGGCGGTTGCATTTAGCTTTATCAAGAGTAAACGGGTGGGACTTAGATGTCAAACTAGTGACACGCTTAAATTCCTACAGTCACGACACCAGGGGGGAAAACTCGTCAGACAAGCTGTCATGAAAATATCTGTAGAAAAGACAGAGGAAGGCCACGTCACGACGGTGAGAAGGTGACTGAAGTCAGGATCGACTACACTGCAGATTCTTCTTTGCATTTTGTCAAGAACATTGAGATGAATAGCAGGAGAACCAGACCAGATATGGGAGCAGTATCCAAATCACAGGTGAATGGTAGATTTGTAAATGTGCAAGATGGCCTCAGAAGAGAAATATTTTCTAGTACGACCGAGTAACCGAACTTTCCTTGCAGTAGATGAAGCTATTGATACGATGCAGTCGCTCCATTTAAAGTCAGTTGAAAACGTGAAGCCAAGCAGACGCAGTGTGTTGGTCTCCAGGCGTCTAGCGTCAGCCATGCAGATGGCAGGCAGAAAATCTTCTCTATGGTTGTTAAACGAGAGCAGTTTTGGGGGGATTTGGGGGGGGCGTCGTTAAAATTTACAAGCCATTTCTTGACCCAGTTACCCACTGATTGGAAGTCCTTTTCAAGGGCAGCGGACAGATTTACTTTATCGGCTCTGAAGGATTTGCTATTGAGACAGGAGTAATTGGTAGTGTCATCTGAATAAATACCTACATGGGAACTGATGACATCGGACAGATCATTGATGAAAATCAGAAACAGCGTAGGACCCAGGATAGAACCTTGGGGGATACACACGTTCGTGGGAAAGGATCGGGTTGCGATGCCGTTCAAAACGACCTTCATTTCACGATTTGACGGGAATGATTGAATCAAATCAATCGTCTTGTAATACCGCAGCCCTGGAGCTTAAGACGGGAATAGTCCATTATGTTATTATGGGTAAGGTCGCATAACAATATGTGTGCTTAGTAATTTCTAGTTAGTCAGCTTTGGTTCTCTGCAGCAAGAATAAAACATTCAGTTTCAGCTTTTAACACTACATTACGTAACCACTGATGGCTACCGTGTTTGTCTACACCAGCTTGGTTGGTAGGAGTAGAGTGTTGACCATGAAGTAGCTTAACATGACATCGTTTTTAAATTTGATATATTGCATTTGCTTTTGACTTCTTTTTTAAAGTTCTTTGCCGCTTCAGTTGGTATATTTGCACCTCTTCGCCCACTTGAAATTCTCTTTTCAAAATCGTTGGCTTCGTTTATTACTGAATAAAGTTTCTTATTTCTTTTGTGGTCTTTGACACAGAACAGTGTCCAATATTCTGAGGTTTCCAGGTATCTTTGAAGATCTATTGTTGTAGTTTTGTATGACAGTTCTAGTTGAATAATCCTCCGCCTCGTTCGGATCTGGATACATATAGATGACCAACATCAGCCCTAAAAAGATACATGCGATGACAGATGAGGAGCTTTCTCCTTTTGACATCCATTCGCTTAATGTTAATGTCGTGGCCTTGTTAGGGCTAGAAATAAAGACACAAAGAGAGGAATTGAGTTAAACAAATATATTAACAGAAATAGTAATACAAACAGATACAAACGAGAGTGTTACAGCAAGAATGTTCAGTCCGACTATCAGAGCTGACTGCTGGTAACTTCCCTCTCTGAAAGGCAGTACCTGCTCCTGTTTATAGCTGGGAGAGTCAATGCGTGCAGAGGTAAATTACCATAACAGTTAGTCATGGTCCAATTAAGGATGTCGAAACTGTATTGCCCCGCAGGGACAGCCAAAGGCTGATATTTTTGTGAATTCCTGTATCATGTGCCACATTTTTGAGATTTTCATTTCAAGGTCCTTGTATTTTGATAGCTTTTTGAAGATCTTCAAAGATACATTGCAGTCCGCAGTGACTGACTTATCAATAAGGAGGCACTTGTTTGTTTGCTGTCTCTAATAACAATGTCATGGCGGTTAGTTTTGATTCTTCTGTCTGTGTGTATTGTGTAGTCCCATAAAATTGTAACTGTTCCCAAATTTATAACCGAGTCTGGGTGGATTTATTATTATTATTATTATTGATTTTGTTAAATTTGTTATCCTTACAGTAAATGGCTCCACCAAATAGATGCTAAATAGGCGACAATAGGCTTAATTTATTCACTGTTAAATAATTTTTATTATTATTGGAATTTTCCTTGGAAATATAAAAGCTATAGAAAAAGAAAAATAGGCGGTAACCTTGAATTAGAAAA